TCACTATCGGTAGGTAAACTTTGATGGATTACGACACTTGATGGATTTCCACCATAACCACCATCGTCGGCAACAAAGAGTGTCAACATTTCTGGTAAACTTTGATGAACAACATTATGGAACATCATCATCTGGTCGTCGTCGCTAAACTCATATAATTTTTGTAAGGAATTATTTTTATAAATTAACATGAAAGGACTACGTAAACTTAACTTTTTCGTAACATGTTTAACCAAACCAGAATGTGTTATTAGCGAAGGCGAAGGTAATACACGTATGGGGGATCCTAACGGCATATAATCTAAGGCACCATTTATCGTTTGGAATGAACCGCCAATTTGAACATATACAAAAACATTATCACTTTGACGTGATTTCATATTTGTGTTTAAGAGTGAAGGGTTGTGATGGTATATTGTATTTAATGGGTTAAAGGTTAAGGGTTGTGATGGTAGATTGTGTTTAAGAGTTAAAAGTTGAGAGAGTAGAAGTGAGGAAAGCCTTTCTTTTTTTCTTTGTCAATTTAGAAGATATGAGAGTAGAAAGGAGTGAGGTGTGTTATTTATTACTATTTTCGTCCTCGATCTTTAATTTTTCTTTTTTGGTCCTTGTGGTTACCATTTTGTTTCATTTTTCATCCCTGTGACTAATTCTGTTAAATTTCAGACATTTACTCAAGGGCATTTTAGTCTTTTCAATTTTAAATAACTTTTTTTTATTAAACCATAATATTATTATATTATATTTCATATTATATATATATATATATATATATAGTATATGTATATACCCTCAACCCAAAAAACTTCACCCAGGAACTAGAAATCGTGTCTCCCTTTTGGCACCGACCTTGTGTTCCCTTCTCCCTTCCATCTTCGATGAACATCACCACCATGTCCAACGGCCACCACCACCTGCAACCGTCGTGTCCTACTGGTTTCTTCCCATCGGTCTCCTTATCTCCCTCTTCGCTCTCAACAGGTCTCCCCCTTCCCCGCCCCACCATCACTCTGATCCCAAACCACACCACTCCGATCTCGATCTTTAGACCCATCTCAATTTTGTTTTTTGTTTTTGATATCTATTTGTTCTGGCTATCTATATCCAACCTTCTTATTTGATATTGTTTTTGGTTTTGCATAGTGAAATGAAGTCTTTCAAAAATTCTACCTGTATATGCGTTTCTTTTGAAGAGATTTATGTTGCCACCAATGTGTTTTTTCACTGGTAACTTCATAAAAATCCAGTGTTTTCCAACTTCACTTTTTAGTACTTTGGTTTCCCTACATTTCCAAAACCATCCCATCCAAACCCTACTCCGGTGATTCATGTTGTTGTTCAGGTGAAACAGGAACACCCAAATTCAATTAATATTTTATATATTGAAGCGAAAATCATTTTGGGTTTTGTTTGTCTTCCTTCTAAAAAGAAAGGGGAGTGGGAACATGATCGATGCCGATTAGGATTGAGCAGGGAAGAAGATGATGGGTAAGGGAGGGGTTGCTAGGTCACGAGGGTGGGGTTGAGGTATGTTAGGTTTTGTTTTTATATCATTATAAATGCTTTAACTTTATAAAAGGAAAAAGGAAAATAAGGAAAATGTTGAAATGACCAATTTACCCTTAATTTAACAGTACTTTTCTGACAAAGTTAGTATTAAGGATGAAAAAAGAAAGGAATTGCAACCACAAGGACAAAAAAACAAAATTTAAATATCAGGAGCGAAAATAGTTATAAACAACAAACCATAGGGGGAAAAAATTGTACTTTCATAACTTTTACAAATAAACGACAAAACAAGTGTATACGTGAACCCCTGTGATTCACATATGAACTATATGTTAATATGTGAATTCGTGTAATTCATATATGGACTATTTAACTGATTCACATATGAACCCGTGTGATTCACATATGAACCCATGTGATTTACATACGCTCTAATTAACTAATTCACATATGAAATATGGGTTAAGATATGAACTTATGGGTTTACATATGCACTTGTTTGCCATCTATTTGTAAAAGTTGCGAAATTACCCATCTGTTTTTTTGTTTGACCAGTCAAAGCCGCAAATCTTGACCAGTCAAAGCCGTAATCCTTGACCAGTCAAAGCCACAATTTTTTTATCAGTCTTAACTGTATGAAAGGATAAGATTACTACTTTACTTCTCAAATATTTACCACTTCTTAAATGAATCTATCCTCATATATACATATGATGTATTCTGAAAGCCAATATTACAACCAGAACCAGTTATTGGTTAAATTTTAGGGTCAAAAGGATCATTTTATTTGTTTTCAAAAATTACATAATTTTGTTGTTGAGAAAATGTACAAAGAGTTAATTTTTCAATATATGAAAATTGGTCAGAAAATTTCAAATTTACCTTTATTTTTTAAAAGAGCTTGCCTTGTAACAAAATTATTATGATCAAACATTGTATTAAAGTTATATATAAAACCGAAAGAATACCTTTTGCATAGTGCGATCTTAGTTACAAGAAAATTGATTTTATAGGATGTTTAAAATGAAAAAGCATTTTAAAAGAATACTTATAGGATACAAGTTTATAGGACAAAATCAAAAAACGTGTTATCTAAAAGCGTTACAATAAGTTTATATGATATTTTTAGACATTTTAACAAGTTTTTCATGATATTTCTAAAATAAAATATCATATTAGCTATTTTATAGAATAGTTAATATGACACTTTATTTTAGAAAAGTCTTGGTATAGAACACTATTGTTTATAGGACACTTTTTTCTTATAGTGTCGTATAAAATGTTAATACGACACTTTTATTTTAAAAACGTCTTAATAAATTTGTTAAAACACCAAAAAAACTTTCCTATAGACTTATTGTATCACTTTTAGATATTGACCTGTTTCGTTTGGTCCTATAAAATATTATTTTAAAACGCTTGTCCATTTTAGACTTTATATAAAATTAGTTTTATTATAGTGCTTTTGTATTGATATCATATACAAAATTTTTTAATTAAATTTTATATTAGGGACGTGAGTTAACAATTTGGTAAGACTTTTTTCAAATTTAAAACTTTTTTTCCGAATAATCAGCTATTATCGTTTACAAGTGACAACAATGAAGATGTAACACAATATAACATGGATGTTACGTAAACCTGACATTTAATTAAATTATTAAGATATGATAAGATATCATTCTTGAAAAAGATATTATTTTAATCAAAAGTAAAATGTTTTATTTTTTTTGTTGTCACCTCATCACATGGTTCTGTCCACCGTCCATGATTTGTGTTAAAGAAATATTTAATCTCTTTTTGTTACCACGTAAACGTATATTTAAACTATTAGAAACTTGTTCAGTAGATAACAAAAGCTTTAATTATGAGAGAAGACAAGATACGAAACCGAAGTTTTTGATTTTTAATTGATTAAGTATATGAATATGATAACGATAAAATGACAAAACCAAACCCTCCACCATATCTTTATTCCGTATAACTATATTCACATACTACAAGGACTAATTGTGTCATTTTGTAATAATATGCATATTTTATTTCTTGTAAATATGGATATCATTTACTTTACTAATTGAGTATGACATGGACCAATTGAGAATATTACTCAATAATAGGCATAACAAGGGTCGACAGTCTTATGCGGTAAGTAAGGAAAAAAAACTCTTATCCAATAAGTGTTTATTGGGTTTAAGACGCTTACCAATAATTTCTTTTAATGGCCAAAAAAATGTTTCATGATAAGGTAAATAATGATAATTTCTTTATATCATTATAAATGCTTTAACTTTATAAAACTAAAAGGAAAATAAGGTAAAGGTTGAAAAGACCAATTTATCTTTTATTTATTAGTAATTTTCTGACAGATTTAGTATTAGGGACCAAAAAATAAAGGAATTGCAACCACAAGGACAAAAAACGAAAATAGTTATAAACAACAAACTACAGGGGAAAAATCTTACTTTACTTTATTAACGGTCTTAAATTAAGTGTTTATGTTAACTCACATAAATATCATAAATTATAGAGTTTTCATTTGATTAAACCCATATATATACAATAAAGATAGAATAATTTTTGGCGAGATCAAAAGTCACACACAATTCCTTTGAATGAAATTTTTTTATTAGCAAAATACCAAACTTTTAAAGCAAAAAAAATACAAAACCTTCAAATAGAAAAACAAACAAGCCTTCAAAAAAAAAAAAAATCAAACCTTCACATAAAAAAATACAATAACTATTCCAATGAAAAATTTATCAAACCTTTACGGAAAACACTCACCAAATTTTTAGTGTGTCTCATGAAATATTAATTAATCTCGTAAGAACCAACTCAATATGTATATATGGGGTTAAGTTTACATGAGACAAGATTATTTTTGTTAGATTCATAAGACCATTTTTTTCGCTTGAAGTTTCATAGCAAAATACGGTGAAGGTAAGAAGAAATTCCAAATTTTCACAGCAAAAACATTGTGAAGTTTTAAATGTAAAAAAGTGATCTCATAAATTTTAGGAAAATAAGTTGGTCTCACATGATCTGAAACCTATATATATAGATATATTTACAATAATTTCATGTTATATATATATATATATATATATATATGTATGTATATAGATATAGAGGGTTGGATTCACGTGAGACCAATGGTTTTTCGTGAGACCCGTAAGACCAATTTATGTTCATTGATCAACTTTATAATCTAATGATCTAATGGTCTAAAGTTGCAAGGTGGCAATTTCGTAATTATTGAGAAGTTTCGTGACGTTTATGAATGTTTAGATCTGACGATTGTAAATCTAATCCAATGGTTGAGAATTGGTCTTACGGGTCTCACGAAAAACCATTGGTCTCACATGATCTCAAGTCTAGATATATAGATATACTTGCAATAATTTGATGTTAAATTTATCTGAAGGAGCGAAGGGTCAAAGTTGATGGCTACCTTGGCCTATAAATACCACAAAGTCTATTCACAATTCATTACAACAAAATCATCCACTCCTTCAGTGAACAAGATCCTCCTTTTTCTTATACATTTTGTTTGTGATTAGTGATTAGTAAATCATGACTTCCGCTAGTATTGAAATTGAGATTCCTTCTTCATATCCCGCCGATAAGGTTTTTAAAGTATTCAGCGATTTTGATAATATTGCGCCTAAAGTCAACCCTGATGTCTTCAAGTCTATCGAGACAATCGAAGGCAACGGAGATGTCGGAACCAAGAAGATCTTCACATTCGGTGATGGTAAGAAATTCATTCATTCTCATCCAAATTGTTAGATGACTTTTAATTGATGCTTTTTAATTCATTACTGCTTTTTTTATGTTCTGTTTCTGAACATAAATTACCTACTGTAGCCGTCCCGTTCACAAGTGGAAAATATAAGGTTGATGCCATTGACACGAGCAACTTTAGCTATAGCTACTCSTTTTTCGATGGTGACTGCTTGATGGGCATATTGGACTCTATCACTCATCATATTAAGGTTGTACCTTGTGATGGAGGAAGCAAATTCAAGCAAACAGTCATTTATAACTGCAAAGGCAACGATAAGCCATCTGAAGAGATTCTTAAGGCTGAAAAGGAAATATATGAGAAAACCTTCAAGGCTATCGAGGCTTATGGTGCTGCCCATCCCGAATCTTATTGAGTTATCTTCATCAACATGTTTTATTATGGATTCAAATCCTTTTCATTTCCGTTGGTGTGTTTTTGTGCTACTTTCTCTATTATGGTTTGAAATAATGGACAATGATCCAATTTATAGTGTACCATGTTTGGGTTGATGTGATAAAAACAAATTTCCCTAATTTAAGGCATGCTTATTTTCTTGTCCATTTTTTGTGTGTCTTACGTATCTGATTATGTTTTATCTACCCCTTCCTTTACAAACTCGACATTCTCTAAGCATACAAGAGATCCAAAGTCATTTAGAGTCTTTTATACCAATTTAAAACCATATTAGCTTTTTGGGAAAAATGCGTTAAATAGCAACTTAGGGGCCGTTTACCAAACACTTATCCAGTAAGCGCTTATCGGTAAAATTTATCCGGCAAGCGCTTACCGTGGTAAGAGTCATCGCCCTCACTTAACGGTTAAGACTCTTGGTCCTTGTCTCTCTCTTACCGAGTAAGATTATTGGTCCTTACCATATTCATGCACTTACCGTGGTAAGAGTCGTCGCTCTCACTTACCGGTTAAGACTCTTGGTCCTTGTCTCGCTTTTACCGGGTAAGATTATTGGTCCTTACCATATTCATCCAGTAAGGTAATGTTATTTGGTATTCACTTACCCGAGTAAGCGTTTGGTAAATGGCCCCTTACTATTATAAATACTCTTATTATTGTAGTTTAATATTTCCTTACTAAGCAATGAACTTTAGTTATTCTTAATCAAGGTATTGTATTATTAACAATTTATCTATTATAGTGTTTGGTAAAATTTTAAGTTGAATTAAGATGACATGACACAAATTAGTAAGTTACCAAGTTTCATGCCTTAACATTGTCCAAGTGGGCAGTGCCGGACCTAGTATTTTTATCGAGTGGATTCACCTTTAAGGTGGATCAAAGGCTTATAAAATCGTCCAATGAATTTTTAGCCAAGTTCCACCATGTCGATGGATTATTTAAGTGTTTTAGGTGATTTAAGTTTTTTTTTTTAAATTTGATTGTTTTAGAGGGAATTTTTAAGTTTTTGATTGATTTCGAGAATTTTTTTTGGTGTTTTTGTTGACGTTTCTTGCATTTTTTTAATATTCCAGAGCATCACTCAAAGTCTAGCACGTACACCTTTCATACCTCAGAAACTACTTGCGAAAATCGATTGAACGAATGCTTGGGACCGTGCTCAGTCCCTTACATATCCGCCCCAACACACGGTATGCCACGTGTAACATATTTTTGACGTGACAATTCTTATTAGAATGTTATAATTTCATAATTATTTTATTATAGCATCATAAGTTGTTATTATAATATTTTCTTTTTAATTTTAATCTTTTTTATAATAAAGCATGATACATTGAATTCAACATGTTTACCAAAAAAAATATGGTAGGCATGACCAAATCACCCCTACAATGAGCATGGATGGAATTAGGGATGTTCATGGATTGGATTGATCGAGTTGAAGACATTTGAACAATCCAATCCAATGTGTGTAGTTTGGAAAATCTTAACCTAACATAACCCAAGTCAAAGGGCAACTCAACTCCACCCCGGTTGGTCGGGGTGGTCAAATTGATACTTCGGTATATTAAAATATTATTTTAACCTTGAATATGTTAATTATCTACTCATAATTTCTTTTTTATCATCATCTATTTGATACAACTTATTCATAGTTTCTACATATATCACATTCAGTTAATTTTCTCAATTTACATATATATATATATATATATTCAAAACTACTGAATATATATACAAATGAGTTATATATAGATGTGAATAGATTGAAAATATGTGTATATGAAAAACGTACGTGATAGTGTAATTGTCTAATGTATATATTAATATAAATTCAACAATCATATTAAATCCAAGAAATAAAAAGATATGGGGTTCATTGAGTTGGGTTGAGTTCAAATAATAGTAACCAAATATCAACTCAATACCTAAGGTTTGAAAATTTTACAACTAGATTAGACATTGGGCTGCTTCGGGTTGAGTTATTTCACATTGGGTTGGGTTGGGTTGGTCGGGTTTTTGAGCACCCCTAGATGGAATGACCAAATTGTGATAACTAGATTCTGGTTATCACCTGAGGTAATTAATTCATGATTAATTATTATGTGCTTATGTGACGGCATGATAAATTTGGTATATGTGATCATACGAGCGTGTGAAATTATATGCATAAATGAATATACATATATGTAGGTATGCATATGATTATATGCATGAAAGATATATCATGCATACAGGATATAAGGATGGTTATACTTGTGCATGATTATGTATGTCAAATGCAGGCATGAAGGGTTATGCATAGGCATGTATGTGCGTATAATGTGGGTTTAACCGCCTTTCTTTTATTAGAAAAGGGTATAAAAGGAGGGGAAAAGCCTCCTTTCATTCTTTCTGCTGTTTTCGAAAAGTAAGTGAGCGATTGAAAAAGACAGGGAAGGGCTGATCGGATTGCTTATTTTGCTAAAAGATCAAGTTGATTTTACCTGATTTCAAAAATGCTTTGAACCATGTTGATTGCATATTAAATTATGTTTTAAAAAGCTTTAACCTGATTCAAGTTTAAATCGGATATGTGTTGAGCGATTTATAAGTTGAACCGGATAAAGGGTGAGCGTTTTAAGGTTTAAATCGATCAAGGCTTGAGCGGTTTAGGGATAAACTGCCTAAGGCATGAACGATGTGGCCTTAAACCGGATAAAAGTTAACCGGTTTAGTCTTAAACCGGAAAAAGTGTAAGCGATTTAAGTATAAACCGCTAAAGTATTGAGCAGTTTAGTTTTAAACCGGACATGTCTTAACCGGTTTAAAGATTGAGCGATTTATGAACTTGGATTTTATGTTAAGTGTTTTTAAACGGAGAAGTAGGAATACGACTATGAGATGGCCGATTTATTCTAAATCGGACAATGAGGTATAGTGTTGTCCGGATTTGACATCCGGACAAAAGTGTTGGAAAAATTTGTTCTAGAATGTTAAATCGGGCAAGTTTTGTGAAGTATTGTCCGGATTTGTTATCCGGACAAGGTTAACCGGATTGTATTTTGACTTATCATTTTTATTGATTTATTTTCAATAAATGGGAATTTTGACGAAATGAATTTGAATTGATAATAATTCCATTGACTGTGGTCTATTCTATATGAAATTATTTTGTGAAATATTTTTGATGAGGAAATAAGGGTGGCATATCAAGGAGAGGTGTACCATGGGATAAAGGTGACATATCAAGGAAAGGTGTATTATGGGATAAGGGTGGCATATCAATGAGAGGTGTACATTTGTATATAAGGGTGGCATTTGTATGTGTGTTATATAATATAACTTTTACTATTATATCCTTTAAGATTATCATGGTCTGGAATCTTTACTTCTTTGTGACTTAAAGGTTTAGGGTCAGGGTTCTTATTTGAAATCATAGTCTGGATGTTATTGAGAAGAAGATATCAGGTTTGGCCTGAAACTTTAAATAAACCTTATTTGATTCGAAAGGTTTAAAAGTGGCATCATGATAATCTGGTTAGTACAAATCTGTTTTCGATTTGATATATTATTTGCAAACAGAGAAATTTGGCTTGAAAAGTGAAAGGTATTGGTATTATGATTCTAACTTGTTCATATATTTGCGATATGTATGAAAAGTTGTTTTACTTAAAAGTTTTGGTGATTTTCACCCTGCAATAATATAAATAGGGTAACTCACTAGACATTTTATTCTGACCCTCGTTTTTGTGATTTTAAACATGTATTGCAGGAAGTGCAGAAGGTAAGGGAAAAAGGGAAAATGTGATAATTTCCCTATATGTTTATCTGCATGAAGATTGACTGATGACTGAAACTAGTTTAGTGTAAGAATTGTATTTTGAATTTTTAGACCAAGTATTTTGTACTGGTAGATTCTTGTACTATGCGACCAATGTGGTGTACGAATATGTATTTCTTGCATATAAAATATATGTTACATGAAATGTGTGGAATGGGGTGTTACAGAAAGTGGTATCAGAGCCTGAGTTTAAGGGATTTAGGTATTTAACAGCATGATACCTAGACTTAAACTGTTTCACTGCATGTTAAGGGTCCCGAACATAGTTAGCACCATTGGAAATAAATATGATGAGTTGAAAGAACAGTGTGTAAGGTAAATTTTAATTACATCTTGCCAGTGTAATTATGAATTTACAGGTACACATCTGAACTTGAATACTTCATTATATTTGGAAATATGAATACGTGATTATTAATACTAAAATCTGCAGATGTCTAGCCAAACTCGGAGATCTGAAAGAACGGCTCGACTAGAGTCTGAGTAAAGAAAGGAATCACCCGTTAACATTCTGTTGGTCCCTTGAGGGTCTACAAGAATAGTAAAACAGTTTGTAGAAGGGGGGGATGAATACAAATACAATATTTTCAAATTTAAAATATATATTGATTAAGAAGATCAATACAGATTTTACAAGATTGTTTGCGGAAAGATAAGGTGATAAAAACCTATCTAAACAATCTTTAGTTACACACTAAATCTTAGCAAATACAAGAAAAGAAATGCTGTAGAGAAGATCCTTTACTTAAGCTAGAAAATGCTTCGAGTAAGAATTAGGGTTAGAGAGTGTGTTGTGCGCACTCTGCATGGAGAAGAAACACTTCTATTTATACCCAGTGCATTAAATGTTCATTTAATGCAATATGGTAGGGTTAGAGTGCATGTCAAGCCTTAAAAAGGAAGGCTTGTTCTTTGCTATAGTGAATAGTACAAAAAACACTATTCATTAGCAAACATCCTTACCTAAACTTGGTGGACAATAGAGTCGACTAGTCGGCTCCGTACTGTACCAACTTTCATAAGGGTATGGGTTTTGTTCTTTGTGTGCATAAGGACAAGACAACAACAATCGTGCTAAGCAATCTTCCTTTGATCGCTGAATGCTGGAATGACCTGAAGGTTTCTTCATCATTCGCTGAAGCTTGAGCAGTCTTCACACATATGTAGACAGACTTGTAATCACTGAATACCGCTTCAGATCATGTACTCGCCAGTCTCTAATCTTTAGTTTCCGTCTTTGACGTTTGCTGAAGGTTCTTTGGTGTGAGTGTTGTCTTCTTGAAGTATTGCTGTCTCTGATAGATTTACAATGCAAGTTCTTC